TCCAGAAGGTTGGGAGTTCGATTCGGCTGTCTGATTGGGGAGCCAGAAGGTTGGGAGTTCGATTCTCCACCGTGCCTCCAGGGAAAAGCCAGGCGGTGTGGCCTTGGGCAAGCTGCATAGTCCCCAGACACGTACAGAAAGAGGAACGGTAAACCGTTCTCTACCTTGAAATCCTTGGGAAAGAATTTTATAAGTTAAGAATTGATTTGATGGCACATGATTACTATTTAAATATCCCTGTATTGCAGGATACCTGCACTGCTGTATTGCACCATCAGTGTATGTTGTGATACTACCGCCTATGCATTTTTAGCCCCACTGTGGTATATGGGATTGAGTCCCTGTTTAGGACTGCAGCATAAACTACCTGAACAAGAGTGCAATCCTTCACATGTCAAGAATTGATTTGACGGCACATGATTACTATTTAAATATCCCTGTATTGCAGGATACCTGCACTGCTGTATTGCACCATCAGTGTATGTTGTGATACTACCGCCTATGCATTTTTAGCCCCACTGTGGTATATGGGATTGAGTCCCTGTTTAGGACTGCAGCATAAACTACCTGAACAAGAGTGCAATCCTTCACATGTTTACTCTGGAGTCGTTCTCAGTGATGATAAGTCTTCCTTGGTATGTGTGCTTATAATTGATACCCGAATCCATAAATGGAGCCATCTGTGGAAGCATTGGGTTGGGAAGTTGGAGAAGGCCTTGAGCGATAAATCTAGCTCATCTCTGCACATTTCTGCTTTCACATGTTACTTCTTGGACTGTGGTTTCCAGAATCCCTTTAGCCAGGATTTTCGGGTTCTTCCCCGCCTACAAATTATAGATCTAGAGCTGTTCAGTCAGGTAGCTGTGATGTCAAGCAGTTTGGAGAGGTGGGTGGGTGGATGGTAGCAAGAGACAGAGAGATATTAAATAAAAACCATCCATGTAGATTTAGCATTCGTGAAGGTACTTTAGATGGGAGAAGCATACGCACACACACAAAAAAACGCTTATATATTAAGACCTCTGTGGAGTAAAGCCTTTAGAGCTACATCTACTGTGTGTCTACTTAAATCTAAAGGACAACTCTTCAGACCACCCGCATGTTGCGCTTCCTCACTGTTGTATTCAGTTTGCTTTTTCAGGAGGATGAGTGCTAAACACTACAGCCTCGCCGCTTCACCAGAAAGGGGGGGGGGGAATCAATTTTGTGTAAAGTGAAAATTAGTCTCTTAAATCTGCAAAGCGAGCTGTTTATCTTACAAATTTATTCTTTTTTTATTGGGCCACACATACCCTAGATAGTAAGATAAAAGAGAAATGTCTAACAAGCTGTCATTAAGAATGACATCTAGCAAAACATAACTAGTACTCTTATTCTGTAAATTTATCCTGAGTGGCTTGTTAGCTTTAGCTATCTGTTTATCTGTATTTTTCCTCTCTTTTTGCAGTGTTTATCGAAACTGAAAATAAAAAAAGATGCCTTCATACATGCCTCATATGTACTTTCCCAGTCTTTCACTCTGCAGGGTTCAGAATATATTTTTTTCTGTTGAATTCTGTGTACAGTGCTGTGTAAATACAGTGACAATTAGAATCCCTTGAGGAATTCAGAAATATAAAATAGCCCCTCTCCATGTCTGCTTGAAAAACCACATAGATTCTGCATTGTGTTGCTCTTAAATGCTGTGAATAATTAAAATGTCTGTTGGAGGCTTGCTAACTTATACTTTGTGTTATAACCGGCTAGCATTTCAAGGAGATCATTCAGATACTGTTTTATGAAATAATTTTATCTTTTAAAAAACCAACTTATTGTTTAGAAAAAGATATTTTAATCACGACCCACATGAAAAGGACATATATTTTTATTTGTTATGTACGGAATCCATCTGTGAAGTTCATCAAAGGTCCCCTCCTCTTATTTCTTGGGGGGGGGGACTAATTGTCTCAAGAGTGCAGAAGGTACCCACTTCCAGACATGCCCAGTCCTAATCCAAGTTTCAGTGCATTGCTATTAAGTCCTTATCATTCTAAAGGTGTTCCTTTTACTCAGCCAAAGAACATTATGTAGTGAACTTTTCAAGAAAGACTTACATAGATCTTTCTGTAATTCATTCATATATTCCACTTCATAGGATCCCTCCTACATACACAAATATTTGTCTCCTCTTCCTATTCACATACACTGTACATGCACACCTACCTGCTCAGTGCCATTGACACAGAATTAAACAAGCTGGAGGTATATGAATCAGGCCTGCCTCCCAATTAGAGATGGGCATGAATCAGTAAAAAAAAAAAAAAGATTCATTTTGATTCGTGATTCATCCAGATCAATGAATCACAAATTACGAATTTTCTGACAAATTGAGGAATGGATTTGTCAATTTGTTTTTTATTTAAAACCCTATAAAATGCCCCCCAAGTGCCCCAAATTCACTGGGAAGCTTCCCCTGACTTTCCTCTACAAGCCCTCCCAAGTTTGGTGAACTTTGGGTTTTGGGTGTCCGAGTTATGCATCCACAAGGAGCCCCCCTGGAAAGTTTCCCCAAGCACCTAGAGACACCGAAATCCCAGAGAAGCTTTTATTGACTGTCCTCTACAATCCCTCCAAGTTTGGTTTCAGACATCCAAGTTATACACCCACTAATTGGGTCTTACCAGGAAAGTGCCCTTTGGCAGCTAGTTTGGGGAACCCAATATTCACCAAACTTGGAAGGATTTCAGAGGAGAGTCAGAGGAGGCTTCCCTCCAATTTTGATATCTCTACATCTGGGGGGAGCCGTTTTATAGCCAAACAAATAAACAAATTATAAAATCCTTTAAAAACGTTGATTTGTATTTGTCAGGGGCATAGAGTTACCTGAATATGAGTTGACGAATTAGTGATTTTTTGAATGAATTTGGTGGTTCTTTTTAAAAATTCATTAAATACTCCCAATCACTTCCGAAGGGGATGGGATCATGCTTCCAATCGAGTGGAATGAGACCCGCCAACATTTTCATTAAAAGAGATACTTTGTTTTCTTTTGCTTTCCATAGGATGGGGTCTTATTGCATGTTGCACAATAATAAATGAAGATAGCTGAATTAAAGAATACATAGGTCTAAAAAATGCCGTTGAAACCCAGAGAAGAAAAATGCCTCGAGTCCTGTTTCATTTATCAGTTTCTTACTGTAATTGAGGGGTGGGTCATACATGGAACCCGGGGGCTCAAGGCTTCAGTTTTTGTTTTGCAAGAGATCATAATAGATAAATAGGTACATTGGGCTTTTTATTTCCCTTGAGAAGGGCTGCTCTTGAGTGAACATGCAATGTAGCCCTGGTCCCTGTTGGGATTGCTCTTCCTGCGGTCCTTTCTGGAGAGATCGATTGTCTGCTCCTTTCAGTCTGAGCCTCTTCCAGACTTCAGGGTTAAATGTTATGAAGTCTGAATGCTGTACCGGAAATGACTAGAACTCTTTGTGAAAATAAAATATTTCCATCTTCCAGCTGCGGAGAAGATCTAGTTTCCGTTACAGTTCCTTTCCCCCTCTTCTCCACAACCTAGGAAACAGTTGCCCCTGGCCATTAGCACTGGACCATCTCTTATAACCTTCTACAGTGATGCCTTGCTTAATGACGATAATCAATTCCAGGAAAATCGCCCTTAAGCGAGAACATCGTAAAGCAAAAATAAAAACCCCATTAAAACGCATTGAAACCTGTTCAATGCGTTCCAGTGGGGTAAAAACTCACCATCCAGTGAAGATCCTCCATACGGCAGCCATTTTCGCTGCCTGTAAAGCGAGGAATCCATCCCTAAACACAGCGGGGAGCCATTTTAGTTACCCGGCTACCATTTTGAAACCGCCAATCAGTTGTGTAAAAATTATCGTTTTGTGAAGAATCAGTTCCCGAAGCACGGAACCAATCATCGCAAAGCGATATTCCCCCATTTAGACCATCGTTTTGCGATCACAAAAACAGATCGCAAAAAGATCGTCGTGAAGTGGATCTGTCGTAATGCAGGGCAATTGTAAAGCGAGGCACCACTGTACTGAGTGCAGATGATTTATCCAAATCCTCCAGAAATACAAAAACCAGAGGGCTTAAAATATCAGATGCCTAAACGTCTGGCTACAAAACTATATTATTTGTGCTTGCAGGTAAAATGGTAGTTGCCAGCATATGAGGAATCAGTCTTGAACCCCTGTCTTACTTCTTCTGCTTTCTTTGATGTGGACCGTAACAGGAAAATTATATAGCATAATTTAGTGGCAATGGTGCCCATCCTTGAAAGCTGTGACTTAGTGTAATTTGTGTGCAGCCACAGGTGCAATTTGAAAAATTAAAATTACCATGAACACGGGATACAATTCATTAATGGGTTTTCAAGTCTCCTTAATGTTAGCGCAATAGTTACACAGATGCTCAGTCTTAGAAACTAGCACTATTTAATGAATTAACTGAGGATTTTAAAATGTTTAATCTCCTGTGCATTATGCCCATTGCCATTAATTGCAGCGGTGACAACACAATAACTAGTGTTATTACTATTTTTTTTCCAGCCCTTACAAGGTTTGTAACGGTCTCCATTTTGCTCTGTATATATCTACATATTGATTAACACTGAAGCAGATGCAAGAAAGGAAATATATACTTTCCTCTTTTTTTCAAAAAAAAGAAAGAAAGAAAACTTTTTTAGGATGAGAAAGAACGTAATAGGAATGAGGCAAAGGAAGAAATCAAACCAGCTGCTGACACAGCTGTTTCTTTTCTTGTCTAATTCAGCTCAGTATAAAGGTACCATATGCTGCTTAAAACAACGATGGGGAAGATGAAATAATTTAAGAGAATAACAAGAAAATACATGAATTGTCAGCATTCTGTCAGATTTAAAGAATGAAACAGACAGGTGTAGTATTGACATGTTTAGCTTTGTGTTGCGTTAGCAGTTTGGGTGAGAACAACTCCTTGACATGTGCTGAAATGATGTGAGAACATTCTCTGTATTGCAGACATCGGAGAAGAAGCAGGAAGATCTGCCGGAGTCCAGCAGCCAGCTTTACTGAGAGACAGAAGCCTCGGATCTGCTATGAAAGACTGCCCCTATTGTGGGAAAACATTTAGGACCTCACACCACTTAAAGGTTCACTTGAGGATACACACAGGTGAGGTCTTCTTATAGAGCAGGGTCTATTGTACAGGTGCTACATGGAAGGATTTTGACTCATAGACTGAGCTGTGACCTAAGATATGACCCCCTAGCAGGGATGTCACTTGTTTCAGTACGCATTAGGTAGCCAAAGTACTGCTTTAGAATTTCTGTGTCCTTCCAACATTATGAAAAACACTGACCTAACTTGCAGGAAATAGCGTGAAGTGCTCTACAATATTATAAAAGAGGGATGAGCCAAATCTTTATGAGATTTGATTTTATCTTGAAATGTTCGTGATCAGTAGAGAGGACACTGTCTGACAGATAAAAAAAAAAATCAGAAAGTGACTGACAGATAAAAAAAAAAACAGAAAGCGACTGCAGTTATGATGTGGGTCGGAGCAAGAGAAACCTCTTTGGATATGTGCCCGTGGAGTAGCTCGAAGACCCAAATGCAGCTTGGTGCACATTTCCTTCTAGTATCAAGGACCAGGTGGAAAGATGGCCAAATGTTTGTAGATTCTTTTCAACAGTAATGCGAGAGGGGGGAAAAATGAAAGGCTGTATTGGTTCACATCTAATGCTGTATTAAATGGAAGGTGTTTGCTAAATGGTGAACAAAGAGTGCCTAATTTGTACTTCATTAATAGATGCACAAAGCACATTTGTTTATTTGCAAAACTAAAGGGATATCTCAGATTCATATGTACCCCTAACCAAGAGCTGAATTGATATGAACATATTCAGTTAGTTATGGGAAATCAAATTGGAACCAACTTATTGCAACCCTGGTAGGGCTTTCGAGGTAAGTGAGTTATTTAAGGAGTGATTTTACCATTTTCAATTCCCCAATGAGTTTCCGTGGCCAAGTGGGAATTCAAACTCTTGTCTGCAGAACCCTAGTTTGGCCGTAATTCTACCCACTACACCACACTGGGTATTAGGAGAGATTCAGGAGACAAAGCAGTATTCAAAGGAGTTTTCCTCCAAGGCAGACTGAATCCAAATCTGAACAGTCTTGAATAATACATGTTTTACATTTATGTGAAAAAGAAAGTACAGCCTCCTTGAATTCTATGGTTTTACGCCTCAGCACATAATAAAAATCATCAGGTCCTTAGCAGGTCTGAAAATTAGGTAAATACAACCTCAGATGAACAACAAAACATGGCATATTACATTTCTTTAACAAAAGAAAAATACCAAAATGGAGAAACCATGTGTGAAAAACTACACTTTTAAAGATCAGTGGCTTGTAGAACCACCTTTAGCAGCAATAACTTGAAGTAATAATTTCTGTATAGCTTTATCAGTCTCTCACATCATTGTGGAAGACTTTTGGCCCACTTTTCTGTACAACATTGCTTCAGTTCATTGAGACTGATGAGCATTTATGGACATCTCCCTTAAGGTCCCGCCACAGCATTTCAATCGAGTTGAGATCTGGACTCTAACTGGGCCATTGTAGCACCTTGATTCTTTTCTTTTTCAGCCCTTGTGTTGTAGAGTTGCTGAGTTGCTATCATGGTCCTGTTGCATGACTCAGTTTCGGCCAAGCTTTAGCTGTCGGACAGATGACTTCACATTTGGCTCTAGAATACTTTGGTATACAGAATTGTTCATGGTTGACTCAATGACTGCATGGTGCCCAGGTCCTGTGGCTCCCAATCATGACCCCCTCCACTGCTGTGCTTGACAGTTGGTATGAGGTGTTTGTGCTGATATGCTGTGTTCGGTTTTCACCAAACATGGTGCTGAGCATTATGGCCAAACATCTCCACTTTGGTCTCATCTGTCTAGAAATCTTTTGGTTTGTCTAGATGCAAACCTAATCCATGATGCCATGTTCTGTTTAGAGAAAAGAGGCTTTATTTTTGTTAAATAAATAATGACAGGGTGTAATATGCCATGTGTTGTTGTTCATCTGAAGTTGTATTTACCTAATTTTCAGACCTGCTAAGGACCAAATTATATTTATTATGTCTTGATATGTAAAAACCTTAGAACTAAAGTGTACTTTCTTTTTCACATGACAGTATGTATAATGTACAGTGGTGCCTCGCATAGCGAGGTTAATCCGTTCCGGATTAACTTCGCTATGCTGAAGCATTGTTGAACGGGGCAGGGAATTCCATTGGAACACATTAAACATGGTTTAATGCGTTCGAAATGGGCCGAATACTCACTGTTCAGCGATGCTTCTTAATGGTCAGCAGCCATTTTCGCGCCCTCCCCTTGCTTAACGAGGGCACGAAAACGCTGCGTGCAGCCATTTTGGGCCATTTCCGGGCTTCTGGTGGCCATTTTGGCCGCTGAACAGCTGATCGAAACGCTTACCGATCTTCGCAAAGCGAATTTTGCCCTATCTAAAAAACATTGAGCGATCGCATTAGCGATCCCAAAAAAGGGATCGCTATGCAATTTAGTCGTTGTACAGTGCGCTCGTTAAGCGAGGCACCACTGTATATGGTGGCTGAAATCCTTTTCCTTAACATAGTAAATCACAACTAGAGTAGGCTTCCTTAATCAATGGAATTTACAGAGGTGATGACTCACCCAATCTGCACTAATAACTATCAATGGGCCTAATTTAGCTGCAACGTATTAGATTAAGTAAAAAGATTTTAGCCATCATATATATGCAATATATATGCAATATATGTTATATAGTGTATTATATATATCATTGTATATAATACTGTCACTAAACATAATGTTGACATTTTATTGTTTGGTGAATACAACCGATTGTGTATTCAGAATCTCTTAATTACAATTTATGGGAGGTAAATATGACCAGTAGCCATTCTCTATATAATTGGGTTTGAAAACTTGCTGAAAAAGATTATCTCGGGGCAGGGGGGAACCTGTCATTAAAAATAAGACAATGAATTTATAGAGGAGTTGCACAGTCTATACAAACAATGTGTACAAACTGTTCTAAAAGAGCAATAACATTCAGATAAATAAAGATCAATTTCCGTTAACCAAAGAATTAAGATGTATAAAATAATGAAACCAGAACACAAGTATCCCACATTGTACATATTCACAATAAATGATGTGGTATCACCAATTATTAGGAGGTTTTTAAAAAATCAGCTTATTGTGCACTCACTGGAAATGACTGGACTGGCAGCAATACTAGTCTGGTTAATGCATAGTTTTTCAGGGTTTTTTGAAATATATTTTGTCTGTATTAAAATTTTGGTCTGTATGTCACACAAGTGATTAAAACCAACATATTTCTGTCTCTACACTACATTAACTCAGGATGGTGATTTTGGTACTCCCAGCACCTGTTTGTTGGAAAGGTACTCAGGCATTTCTGCAGAAGTCAGTTTCCTGTAAACACCTGGTGTTTGAAAGGCCATGGCTTGGACGACTCTTTCCTAATGCTAAACCCATAGTTGCGACTAAGATAATTAAACATAGTCAACAATAGATCTGCTGGTTTATTTTTTTGTAAAGCTTAGCAAATAGCTGTTCTTAGGAAAGAAACTCAGCTTTGCCCCTTTCCAATTTAGTTAACAACTCATGACTATATTTATGCAAGTACAATCCGGTAGGGGTTTCCCCCCTACTTTTCAAAGGTATATTTGAGAAGTTTTTTTTGCCTTTGAGGTTTCAGACTTTTCCAAATCCTGAAACATTTTTCCTCATGAAAAATAAATAAATCAGCAATGATTATGCAACAGCAACAATAGTGCCCAGATAGCACTCTCTATATACTTCCTTGTCTCCTGTCACATTTTTCCTCCCTTTTGACTGCCAGTTCCTCCTTCTTTGGCCCCACCTTCATTTTTGCCTCTCTTGAACACACTCCCCCCAGCCAAAGATGAATATGGATGGTTGGTGTGATTCCCCCCCCCCTTTTTTTTTTTAAATTAATGTCAGAACTCACATAGGCTGAAGACCAAAGTTCCAGGTGAAGTTCAGCCCATGTTACAGTTCTAAATTAGGTGCTCTCCGAAAAGTGGACTGAGAAACTGAAGGGAAACTGTGAGATACTCATTAATGCATGGTTGCATTACAAAAACTCTGATCAGCTCCCTGCCCCCAGAAACCTATTTGTCTTTTACGATTTTCAGAAACAGTTAGAGACAAGATGGGCTGTCTGGATCATTGAGGAAAAGAGCTCAGTGCTCCAAGAGGAGAAAAAGTATTGTCAATGCATTTTTTAAAAAATAAAAATTCTTGCATTTCAAAGTTGAGCTAAAAGGGCCTTTCTTTCATTTCTGCGTATTTTTTCCAGATAACCCATCCTTAACATTGTCCCACTTGCCTTTTCTTGACTTAATGACACCCCAAACTTTTGTGGAAAATAATTGATTGAATTTAAATTTCCTTAAAAGTTTAAGAGGTAATGTTACAGTATAAATTTCCAACCAAACACTAAGTAGGGAAATATCCATTAGTGAAATTAACTACAGTTTCTAGGTAGCTAACAATGTGGCGTATACAGTAGGGCATGGCTAATGAACACTGCAGTGGGTGATATTTCATTATACAAATTAATGCTCACATTTTAATGGGAAAGTCACATAATGAATCTCAGCTTCACTGACAGCAATTAGAGACACAGATTGTCCCCTTCTGGACAAGATACTGTTTAGCAATAAGCAGCTGTGTAAAAAGTCTTCAGGTTTGCAACATATATATGCTTTGGGGGAATTGGTGTACAGTTTATATTAATGTACTGAAGCTTTGGCGTTAAAGATCATCCATATTTATTTCTTCCAGTATTAACTATGTAAAGACGTGTAGAAAGACTAAATAAATATCCAAGATAGGATTTAAATTCAATTATATAGCTTTGCAAAAATTAAAACATTATTCTGTCCATTGTGCATGAGAACAGAAGGTAATATAAACCCAGGATACAAGAATATGGAATAATCATATACCTTTTCTTTGTCTTTGGCTTGCATCTTTCTCAGGCACAATAGCAAGGGAGCAACGAGGCTCAGAATGCAACTGGTATTTCTGACAAACAGATGAACTATGTGGGGA